TCAGTCTTGAGGTGGAAGAGGAGTGGACCTACTGAGGGTTTTGACACATAATTTCTCTTGGTGTGGTAACCTTGTGTGTTGACCACAAGAGAGGAGGTGTCGGGTACGTGTCACGGTAGTGTGGCATCGGGGTGCCTTAGCCATGTTTGGGGCTAGGAAGAGTTACTCAGTTATCTGTACTCATAGCCCACCAAGATAGACTGCTATGTTATGTCCTAAATGTGTGTCTGTGAGTTAATGTTTGCCATTCATAACAGAAGGTTGGGGTTTGTTAAGGGTTAAGGAAAGTCTGGACAGCAGCCTGTGAAGTGTCTTAGATTTCTGTTAGGAAGGACAGAGAAAGGGGGAGGAGACGGGTCAGACGCTGATAAGACCCCTAGAAAGGAATGTTAGCTGATAAGACCCCTAGAAAGGAATGTTACCATGTGACCTGGTTGCACAGAGAGAAGAGGAAAAGTATGTGGAATTAAAGATAAGATGGTTTAGGCTACAGTCATAGGAATGGCAGGGAAAAAAAAAAAAGAGACAAAAGATGTCTTAGTTGACAAAAATTTGCTGAAGACAGCAAGAAGCTTGGTATAATGTAGCCAAAGTTATCCACAAAGAGCAGTGGACAGAACAGGTATTGCAACAGGAAAAAAAACTGTTTATGTGTTAAAATATTGAGAAGGATTACTAGTATGTCATATTGTGAAGAGGAGAGAAGGAAGTGAAGCAGTTAAAAAGTTATCTAAAGTAGCGAAAGTTTGTAAGCTGAAGGTCAGCGTTGCCTGACTTCAGCCGAGGACTGGCGTAAATTATTGTAGAAACAGAGAGGAATTTTATGTGATAAAGGTTTGCTGAATGTGACAGAAGCTTGGTACAAAAAAAAAAAAAAAACTGCAAAAGCGTTGCATAAAGAAGGATGGTTGGAAGAAATTCAAGAAAATGGCGATTGTATAATGTATGTGTATCATAAAATTGAAAATGGAAGTGTGCTAAAACCACCACCCTATGACGATAGAATTCAGAAAAAAGGAGGCCAGGAACAGCCCTGCCCTGTACGCCTCCCACTAGCAGCCATCTTGCTACACCTGCATTGTCAGTTCCTGCCCAGCCCAATGCACTTCCTGACGGCAGCCATCTTGCTGCACCTGCATTGTCACTTCCTGCCTAGCCCAGTACACTTCCTGTAGGTGGCCATATTGGTACACCAAATTAGACAACTGGAAGGCCAACGCCTCGAGTGAGCTGCCTCTACCCAGTGTGTCCGGTCTTACAAGTCAATGGTACATTCTACGTACCGCCGGATGTGCTGAGCAGAATCCCAAGTTGCCTATGGTCCACAGGACCCGAAGAGATATTGGATATTTAAAGGTACCCCCAATTATGGTGGAACTGAAGCCTGGAGCTCCCCTACCCAGGAAACCACAGTACCCACTGAAACCAGCACAATCCGAGGCCATTTCAAAGCAGGTCAAGTCCCTTGTGGCAAATGGTGCACTCATACCTTGTACCTCTCCATGTAACACACTTTTGTTCCCGATAAAAAAGAAGACACCCAAAGGAGAACCAGAGAAGTACAGGATGGTACAGGACCTCCGAGCAGTGAATGAAGCCACCGTCTTAGAGACACTTATCGCCCCAAATCCCCACACTTTATTCACAGGGGTACCTCCAACAGCAAAGTATTTCACCGTAGTGGACCTGGCAAATGCATTCTTCAGCGTTCACTTGTATCCTTCCTGCAGATACTTCTTCGTTTTTATCCATGAGGGGCAGCAATACACCTGGGCAGTTATGCCACAAGGGGCGCAAAATTCTCCGAGCCAGTTCGCCAAAGCCATGACCACAATACTGAACACATGGCAAAAGGAACATTCGGCAATGGTCCTTCTTCAGTATATGGATGACTTTCTCTTCTGTGCTGATGAGCTGCCCACGGCTGAAGAAGCCTCGGAGAGTTTACTATGTTACTTGGCACACCAAGGCTGTAAGGCTTCTTAACCGAAGTTGTAATGGTGCTCTACAACAGTCGTATTCTTGGGCCACTGCCTCTTACATGGAACAAGGCATCTTACGGAGGAAAGAGTTAAGGCCATCCAGAACCTGCCACTGCCGCTAGGCCAGAAGCCACTCCATGCCTTTCTTGGCCTCATATCCTACTGTAGGTCATGGATTCCTGATGCTTCTTGGTTTATGCAACCACTCTATGATGCTCTCAAGTCTGATCCCTTCCATCTGTCCGAAGAGGCTGCCTCCAACTTTTTGGCTCTAAAACGCTTACTTTCTTCAGCCCCAGCCCTAGGTTACCAGACTTCGAGAAACCTTTCAAACTGTTCGTGTCTGAACGCCAAGGCCATGGCACAGGAGTATTGGCCCAGTCCCATGGCGACCGCCTACGACCCGTAGGCTACTACTCATGCCGTTTAGACCCGGTGGCTAGAGGAGCACCCTCGTGTTTGCGTGCAGTTTTTGCTGCTCCAGCTCTGCTGGATAATACCTCTGATATCGTACTGGACATGAACTTGTTCTTCTGGCGCCGTATGACATTGCTGCCATTTTAAACCAAGTCCAACCTAAACATTTGTCCACAGCGAAGCATCTTAGACTACAGTGTTCTCTCCAACTTCCTGATAACGTCACTCTCCTACGTTGCCAAACCCTGAATCCGGCCACTCTCCTCCCAATTGCTGAGGGGGGTAATGAAGGTAATGCAGAAAGTGGAGAGGATGATGGAGCCACTGAGCCTCATAATTGTCTTGAAGTGATGAAAATGGAAACCTTCTGTCAGGAATGGACTGGCCAGCAATGGTGGGACTCACCTGCCTTTTGATCTGCAGTACCAGGGCTGGCCAGCGGATGCTCCCAGCAATCAGAGACTCAACCTTTCAGCCAGCTAACACCTGGAACTGATGATACTGGTGCATTTAAGGGATGGCCAGACTTGCAGACTCTGCCTTGGTGTTGTGTTTGTCCTGGGCCCTGTATCTGTCCTGCATCCTGTTTCTGTTCCTTTGCTACCTGTTCTGATCCCTGGCTTGTGACCCTGACCATCCCTCTGCCTGACCCTCTGTACTACGCTGCTTGCTACCTGCTGAACCTGGCCTGTGACCCCGACCATTCTCCGCTTGCTCCCCCTGTACCTACCTGCCCAATTGATATTGACCCGGCCTGCCTGACGACGCTTGCTTGTATGTACTGTTATCTGTGGGTGGTTGGTTGGGTTTGTTTGCACTGTATTATGTTTAGTATTGCACTGCGTTTATGTTTGTATTGTTAGTGTTAATAAATTACATTGTTAATCACATATCTGAAGTCTGCGTTTCCCTGCGTCAGTCACACACCTCTGGTCATACCTGGGAGCCCTGACATTACACCAAGGCCAATCCTGACCAGAAGTGGCTGCACAGGGAAGCCATCTTGGCTTGTTGATGGGAAGGATGGATCTGGATGAGGTTGTGTATTTATATCTGCTAGTGTTTGATGACAGGGAGTATGCTTATCAGACTCTGAAGGAGTATCCCCGGGATGAACTGCTAGAATGTATACGGCTCGCTCATGTTCTAGTAGATCAGGGCACAGAGTTCTCTGAGGTGCAGCCTTTGATTGAGGTTTGTGCAGAGTTGGTTTCATCTGGTACCCCCGAATGCAGGGATGAATTTTTGCCACCATTTAGTGCAGACCAGGTAGAGTCCCTGGTGTGGTTATTAGAGGATGATGTGGGTTACTTTCTGGAGCGTTATTCCACATGTTCACCACAGACACTGAGAGATTGTATAAACGCAGTGCAGTCATTGACCAGACAGGCTTTGTGTAAGCTCAGCTTTGTTCAACCCATACTGCAGACATGGACAGATTTGTTGCACCCAGCCTCAGTCAGCTTACAAAGACCCAGTCCTGCTTCTAACTCTACTCCTGTATTCCCACCAGCTCCTCCAGTTACAGCCCAGTATACTTGGCTATCTACCGCATGTCAGTACCCTGTTCCCACTCGCTGCACCTATCCTGCCTTTAACCCTGTAAAAAAGCCCTCTGTAGCAACTGCTCCCTCTCCTGTTCCATCCTCCAGTTCTTCTCTGTCTCCAGCTGCTCCATTCGTTTGCAGACCTGCGTTTACTTGCAGTGCTCCAGTAGTTAAAACCAGAAAAAAGCGAAATTCTTTCCAACCAATACCATCCTGCCAGTATCCAAACCGGTGAGCCTGCCTTCCGTGGTTCAGACTGATGCCTCTACTCGGCCTGAAGCCTCTACTCGGCCTGAAGCCTCTACTCGGCCTGATGCCTGTACTCGGCCTGATGCCTCTCTTCAGCCTGATGCCTGTACGCAGCCTGATGCCTCTCTTCAGCCTGATGCCTGTATGCAGCCTGATGGCTCTCTTCAGCCTGAAGCCTCTACTCGGCCTGAAGCCTCTACTCAGCCGGACGCCGGCATTCAGCCTGATGCCTCTACCCAGCATGATGAACTGATCCAGCCTGACGATCCTATTAGGCCAGTTGACTCGATGCCCGCTGTTGATCCAGATGATCCGGTACCTGATTCGGTGCCCGCTGTCGTGCCAATTGACTCAGAGCCCGCTGTCGTACCTGGTGACTCGGTGCCCACTGCCTTGCCAGATGACGCGTTGCCCGCTGGCGAGCCAAATGACCTGATGCCTGGTGACCCAGTGCCCGCTGTCATACCTAGTGACCCGATGCCCGCTGTCGAGCCAGACGATCCAATGCCTGGTGACCCGGTGCCCACTGCCTTGCCAGATGACGCGGTGCCCGCTGGCAAGCCAAATGGCCTGGTGACCCAGTGCCCGCTTTCATACCTGGTGACCCGATGCCTGCTGTCGAGCCAGACAATCCGGTACCTGATGACCCGGTGCCCACTGTCGTGCCTGTTGACTCTGAGCCCACTGCCTTGCCAGATGACGCGGTGCCCGCTGTCGAGCCAAATGACCTGATGCCTGGTGACCCGATGCCCGCTGTCCGGTCAGACGATCCAATGTCTGACCCAGTGCCCGCGGTCATACCAGTTGACTCGGAGCCCACTGCCTTGCCAGATGACGCGGTGCCCGCGGTCGAGCCAAATGACCTGATGCCTGGTGACCCGATGCCCGCTGTCCGGTCAGACGATCCAATGTCTGACCCAGTGCCCGCGGTCATACCAGTTGACTCGGAGCCCACTGCCTTGCCAGATGACGCGGTGCCCGCTGTCGAGCCAAATGACCTGATGCCTGGTGACCCGATACCCGCTGTCCAGCCAGACGATCCAATGTCTGACCTAGTGCCAGTGGTCATGCCAGTTGACTCGGAGCCCACTGTCGTGCCTGGTGACTCGGTGCCCGCCGCTCCGCCTGGGGGCCCGAGACCTGTTGCTCCGCCTGGGGGTCCAGCGCCCGCCGCTCCACCTGGGGGTCCGGCGCCCGCCGCCCCGCCTGGGGGCCTGAGACCTGTCACTCCGCCTGAGGGCCCGAGACCTGTCGCTCCACCTGGGGGTCCGGCGCCCGCCGCTCCGCCTGAGGGCCCGAGACCTGTCGCTCCACCTGGGGGTCCGGCGCCCGCCGCTCCGCCTGAGGGCCCGAGACCTGTCGCGCTCCGCCTGGGGGCTCGAGACCTGTCGCTCCACCTGGGGGTCCGGCGCCCGCCGCTCCGCCTGAGGGCCCGAGACCTGTCGCTCCACCCGGGGGTCCGGCGCCCGCCGCTCCGCCTGAGGGCCCGAGACCTGTAGTTCCGCCTGGGGGTCCGGCGCCCCCCGCTCCGCCTGGGGGCCCGATGCCTGTCGCCCCGCCTTGGGGCCTGATGCCTGTCGCCCCGCCTTGGGGCCCGATGCCTGTCGCCCCCGCCTTGGGGCCCGATGCCTGTCGCCCCGCCTGGGGGCCCGCCGCTCCGCCTGAGGGCCCGAGACCTGTAGTTCCGCCTGGGGGTCCGGCGCCCCGCCGCTCCGCCTGGGGGCCCGATGCCTGTCGCCCCGCCTTGGGGCCCAATGCCTGTCGCCCCGCCTTGGGGCCGATGCCTGTCGCCCCGCCTGGGGGCCCGATGCCTGTCGCTCTACCTGGGGGTCCGGCGCCCCGCCGCTCCGCCTGAGGGCACGAGACCTGTCGCTCCTCCACCCGGGGTCCGGCGTCCCGCCCGCCTCCGCCTGAGGGCCCGAGACCTGTAGTTCCGCCTGGGGGTCCGGCGCCCGCCGCTCCGCCTGGGGGCCCGATGCCTGTCGCCCCGCCTGGGGGCCCGATGCCTGTCGCCCCGCCTGGGGGCCCGATGCCTGTCGCCCCGCCTGGGGGCCCGAGGCCTGTCGCTCCATCTGGGGGTCCGGCGCCTGTCACTCCATCTGGGGGTCCGGCACCCGCCGCTCCGCCTGAGGGCCCGAGACCTGTAGTTCCGCCTGGGGGTCCGGCGCCCGCCGCTCCGCCTGGGGGCCCGATGCCTGTCGCCCCGCCTTGGGGCCCGATGCCTGTCGCCCCGCCTTGGGGCCCGATGCCTGTCGCCCCGCCTGGGGGCCCGATGCCTGTCGCTCCACCTGGGGGTCCGGCGCCCGCAGCTCCGCCTGAGGGCACGAGACCTGTCGCTCCACCCGGGGGTCCGCGCCCGCCGCTCCGCCTGAGGGCCCGAGACCTGTAGTTCCGCCTGGGGGTCCGGCGCCCGCCGCTCCGCCTGGGGGCCCGATGCCTGTCGCCCCGCCTGGGGGCCCGATGCCTGTCGCCCCGCCTGGGGGCCCAATGCCTGTCGCCCCGCCTGGGGGCCCGATGCCTGTCGCCCCGCCTGGGGGCCTGAGGCCTGTCGCTCCATCTGGGGGTCCGGCGCCTGTCGCTCCATCTGGGGGTCCGGCACCCGCCGCTCCGCCTGAGGGCCCGAGACCTGTAGTTCCGCCTGGGGGCCCGATGCCTGCCGCCCCGCCCGGGGGCCCGAGGCCTGTCGCCCCGCCCGGGGGCCCGGTGCCTGCCGCCCCGCCCGGGGGCCCGGTGCCTGCCGCTCCGCCTGGTGGCCCGCTGCCTGCCGCTTCGCCTGGTAGCCCGATGTGCCTCTGCCCGGAGTCCAGCCCGATGTGCCTCTGCCCGGAGTCCAGCCCGATGTGCCTCTGCCCGGAGTCCAGCCCGATGTGCCTCTGCCCGGAGTCCAGCCCGATGTGCCTCTGCCCGGTGTACCGCTGCCCGGAGTCCTGCCCGGTGTGCCAGTCTTTGATATCCCGCCAGTTTACCAGACCCGGGCGGTGGAACATTTTTCCCAGCTAGGACTGTTTGGAGCGTCCTGAGGCCGCTCCTTGAGGGGGGGGTACTGTCAGGAATGGACTGGCCAGCAATGGTGGGACTCACCTGCCTTTTGATCTGCAGTACCAGGGCTGGCCAGCGGATGCTCCCAGCAATCAGAGACTCAACCTTTCAGCCAGCTAACACCTGGAACTGATGATACTGGTGTATTTAAGGGATGGCCAGACTTGCAGACTCTGCCTTGGTGTTGTGTTTGTCCTGGGCCCTGTATCTGTCCTGCATCCTGTTTCTGTTCCTTTGCTACCTGTTCTGATCCCTGGCTTGTGACCCTGACCATCCCTCTGCCTGACCCTCTGTACTACGCTGCTTGCTACCTGCTGAACCTGGCCTGTGACCCCGACCATTCTCCGCTTGCTCCCCCTGTAACCTACCTGCCCAATTGATATTGACCCAGCCTGCCTGACGACGCTTGCTTGTATGTACTGTTATCTGTGGGTGGTTGGTTGGGTTTGTTTGCACTGTTTTATGTTTAGTATTGCACTGCGTTTATGTTTGTATTGTTAGTGTTAATAAATTACATTGTTTATCCCATATCTGAAGTCTGCGTTTCCTGCTTCAGTCACACACCTCTGGTCATACCTGGGAGCCCTGACACCTTCCATCTCCCCACAGTGAGTGAAACACCACTGCAGGACCCAGACTTCACATTTTTTGTTGATGGTTCCAGATATGCAGACGATGGAGGCAAATATTATACAGGATTTGCGGTTACTACTGCAGATACAGTCCTACAGGCAAGAGCCCTATCACCAGCAATATCTGCACAAGGAGCAGAACTTCAAGCACTCACAACAGCATGCCAGATGATGGAAGGAAAAAAAGGGCCAATATCTACACAGACTCCAGATACGCCTTTGGGGTGGCCCATGATTTCGGACCCATATGGAAGGCAAGAGGATTTATGACTGCGGCAGGAACGTCCATAAGACATGGAGCAGCCATTGGACGACTGCTGGAAGCACTCCTTCTACCCATCCAAGTGGCTATTCTGAAGGTAAAAGCTCATGGGAAATTAAACTCCTCAGAAGCCAAAGGCAATAATCTGGCAGATTTGGCGGCAAAACGAGCGGCCATGGGACCACCAGAAATGGAAGTAGAGGTGACCGGAGAGTGGGAACCAATATTCACCTTACCTGTGGACAGAAACTACCTCAAGAAATTCCAAGAAGCAGCAAGTCCAGAAGAAAAAGAGAGCTGGAGACGGAGAGGAGCTATTCTCAAAGACGGTCTGTTTGAGTGCAACAAGAGGCTTTGTTTACCCAAGAATATGTTTCCAGCTGTAGTCCAGTGGGCACACGGAGCAGCCCATCTGTCAAAGAGCCTCATAAACTTTCTCATCAACAAGTACTATATAGTGCCTGAAATCACCACATTGACAAATAATTTTTTGCAAAACATGTGCCATCTGTGCAAAAATGCAATCCGGGACGCACAGAGAAGACACCACAGAAACACTTGGCCAAACCCCTACACCCTTTTCAAAGGATACAAATTGATCATATCCAGATGCCAAAGAGTGGGCGGTTGAGTACACCCTAGTGGTGTTGGACATGTTTTCCAGTGGGCCAGAGGCCTTTGCTGTAACTAACATGACTGCTAAAACAACTGCGAAGAAACTCCTCACTCAGGTTGTATGCAGATATGGGCTTCCAGGGGTGATAGAAAGTGACCAGGGCCCCGCTTTCACAGCTTCAGTAACCAAAGGAATATGGGCGGCATTAGGAGTCACTCTGGCGTTCAATACCCCCTATCACCCCCAAAATAGTGGAAAAGTAGAAAGAATGCTAAAAGTAGCCCAAGAGACTGGCATGAGTTGGCCAGACAGTCTGCCTATTGCCCTATTTAGTGTCAGATACACACCAAGAGAGAACACTCCCTATCCCCTTAGGAGATTTTGTTTAGCTCAGCCCCCAGACTTGGTTGTTATTTTCCACAACAGTTGCAATTACAATCTGATGTGTTAACTGATTATGTGACTGTATTATCACGTGAATTAACCCGTATCCATGTCCAAGTGTTTTTCTCCATTCCAGATTCTGAGTCAGATACAGGAACTCACAGCCTATTACCCGGAGATTGGGTATTAGTAAAGACATTTATGAGGAAACATTCCCTTGAGCCAAGATATGATGGTCCATTCCAAGTTCTGCTGACCACAGCCACTTCTGACAAGGTGGCCGGGAAGAGCACTTGGATACACGCCTCCCACTGCAAGAAAGTCCCAAACCTGAAGGAAAGGCGTCATCTACACCATGACGACTATGTTGTGTATCCTTTTCTATATAAGTTTGACAGAGGCTCAAACAGGTGGATATCAACCGAAAAATAGGTGACACCACTATATTTTGGTACATAACTCATCCAACACTTATGTAGTTATTTTCACCTTTGATTTCTGTAGTATAGATCCCATGTGGTTGCTATGACCATAATCTATATGATCTTGACACAACGAGCATGTTCTGATAGTAGTGAGTAATATACATATGTGTCCACGGAAAATTACTGGGGGACCAAAAGATTAAAATCAGATTGGAAGGGATATTGGACTCGGTGAGTAATGCCCTTGAAAAGGCCATTATGCCTCTCCACATCCTAGCAGAAAATACCCCTGGACCCAATGGCCTGGCCGTAGGAGGAAGCGAAAAGCTCCTTCTGGTAGTTTGAGACCCACATGTGTATAGGATGCTATTGGAGTCCCAAGGGGGTGCCTAATCAATTTAAAGCCAGAGACCAAGTAAAGCACGGCTTTGAAATCCCCGATTCCCATGATAAACTGTTAATAAAAATGTAGATTTAGATAAAATTACATATACTACAACCACAGAGGTTTGTGAATTACACCAGGGATGCCCTTCAAGGAATCGTTGACCAGTTAGCCCCTAACATCCTACATGACATTCCATAATAGGATGGCTACCATGGGACATGATTTTTAGCAGAAAAAGGAGGTGTCTGTAAAATGATAGAAGGAACCGGAACATGTTGTACATATCATTCTCCTGACAATACTGGCCCGAATGGTAAGGTTACTCTGTCTATAAAGAAAATAGGGAAAGATCTGTCAGTTGAGTTTGAAAAAGAATTCAGGGATCACAGACTTGTGGGATCAATATTTCAGTTGCGATGAGTGGGTGGCCAAAGATACTTGCCCAAATAGGGGTAACTGTATTAATAATTATGATTCTCACTGGCCTCCTGGTTGTATGCTTGTTGTTATAATACCATGTGTGAGGAAATTGATGATGGCACAGCTGTAGACAACAGAACACCTATCTTCCTGTAACCAGGAGCAAGAGGATCTCTATATGATAGATGAAGAAAAAACCTTATACCCCAATCAACGGTCCCTCTCCGCCAATAGTAATCTCACAATTTTGTAGGGATAAGCATCTGACTTCCTTATGTACAAAGTCTGTGGCAAGGGGGGAGATGAAAATAGTCATCACCTGTCAAACG